AAATCATTTCTGGGGTCACTGAGATATAGGACCATGGGAAGATTTGCAGATTACACTCAGCTGTGCTGTAATCAGCATCAAAAACAAATAAAATTTCAGGACGGGGTATGCAGATCTAGATGCATCAAGTAAAGCACATAGCTTAATGTCACCAGTGAGATCCAGACCAGCAGCTCAGAGTACATTTTGTAATGATGCTGCTGTTATCATCCCGGTGAATGCTTATCTCCATCCTATTGGTTTTGTTTGTTTGTTAGAAAAATCGCAGAGTATCAGAAAGCTAAATAATGTGCTCAGAGTCACATAGCGTGCTGCCAAGTGAGTCTCATTGACAAAGGCCTTTCTTAGTCCAAGTTTCAAAACATGTTTTCAATATTAGATTTGTCCTTAACCCATCTGGAACTTATAACTTCCAAGTGTGTATATAGTCTATTAGCTCAACACCATTTACTGAACAGTTTATTTTTTCCCTACTGGCTTGAAATGCCATTTTTATTCTATCCTTCATCCTGATAGATAAGGGTCAGTTTCTATATTTTTCCAATCTAATATGCCTAGTCCAATACTATTTAGTCTAATATGCTCAGCTAAATTAGTCCTACTAGTAAAACCTCATAATTATCATAGTTTTAAAATATGTTTTAATATCTGGAATAATGTCTTTTTCTTTTTGAAGATCAAATGAAGTGATGTGGAACATTAGAAATAGTGAATGGTACATGGTCAGCACTTGGTCAACCAGATGCTCAGGGTTACAGTTTGGATCTTAAGCACCTCTCACCTCTGAAAGGCCCTTGTGTTAATGCCTTGGTCTCCAGCTTGGTACTACTGGAAGTTGGGGAAACCTTTAAGGGATGGGGCTTAGTGAAGGACATTAGGTCACTGAGGGTGTGTCCTTGAGACTAATGCTGGTACCTAAACCTCCCCATCCCCTTTTTTCCCAGTCACTGATCCCAGGGATAAGTGTTTCCTCTTGCCATAGGCCCAAAAGCAGCAACAGAGCTAACAAACCAAGGAGCCAAAGCTCTGGAACCACAGCAGACCTTTCCTGTTTCCAAGCTGGTTTTCTCGGGTATTTGTTACAGTGACAGAAAACTGATTAAAATAGTGAATATGATGATCTTGTTTTCTTTTTCACGCGCTAGGAAGTGGCCTCTGGTCAGGAACTCTATGGAACCTCCAGTCATTAATCTTTCTCTCCACAGACATTCAGATGGTCGCTTCCTATATTCTGCAGCGTCAGTGCGCTTCATCAGTCTGCTCACTTCTAAAGCCCAATGCTGACCTCTCCTGCCCATGGAAGGCTTCTCTTTCTCTCTTAAGTCTTTGTGGATATATATTTTGTTTCTTTACTCTTATTTCAGCAAGGCTTCAGGAGGGAATGAAGTTGATTATACACAGTCGATTGACCTATGTCTGATTCAAAACTATCAGATATAAACCACTGTATAGAGGAATTAGGACTGATGTTTGTTTAGCATCACTGGTTGAGTTGGTAATGCTTAAGATTAATCATAAGACTGGACTGGTATGGGTTTTTTTTTTTCTTTCTGAGTTTGTGGATTCTTAAAGCAGAGTTATAAAATCTCATAAAATTGAGTGGTTCCTTGCCTGTTCACCCCCTCCCCACCCCTCAAGCTTTAGAAGTGTTTTTGAATGAATGGGTTTATTTGTTTCACTGAGCTCAGATAGTATTTAATCTCTAAATCACGAGGAGGAGGAAACTGGAATAACAAGAGTTTAAGAACCAGGTGTGGTGATTCAAGTCTGTAATCTTAGCACTGGAGGTCGAGGCAGGAAGATTGCAGATTTAAGGGTAGTCTGAACGCTATGGTGAGACCCTGTCTCAAATTTAAGAGCAGTCTGAACGCTATGGTGAGACCCCGTCTCAAATGAGGGCAGTCTGAACGCTATGGTGAGACCCCGTCTCAAATGATGGCAGTCTGAACGCTATGGTGAGACCCCGTCTCAAATGAGGGCAGTCTGAACGCTATGGTGAGACTGTCTCAAGCAAATAGACAAAGTTTAAAGAAAAACCTTTCGGTAGAGGTAACTGCTGGTAAGTGATGGGGCCCAGGTCTGTCCTAGATCCACCTAGTTCCAGAAGACTCTGGTGCAGCCCTGGCTCTCCCCAGGATTCCTAGAAGCAGGAAGCATAAATCTCTGAGAACATTGTGGGCAAGTGATACAGGGGAGAAGGGGCATCCCCTGGAGGGGTCTTAGGCTCATTCATAAAATAATGCAAGAATGGACCCAAATGGTAGCTTTAGGACAATTTTATTAGAATTTTAAAGAAAAATCCTCAGGGCTGGAGAGCTGGTAAATTCGGCAGCTGCACTGAGGAGGAGAATGGAGGGGAGAAGGAAAGAAAGCCATGAAGCCAGGCAGGTTTAGAGCCTTCATGGGGGTCAGACACGTGGCTGACTCACAACCACATGGCTGGGAGAAGGAAGCTTTAGAGAAAAAGGGAAGAAATCCAAGATGCTAGGGGCAGCCCAAAGCACTAAAGAAAGCATGCTTAGAAAAGCATGTTCAGAAAAGGGATATGAAGAAGAAAAGGAGAGATTCTTCAGAAAAGTGGGCAGACTTACAGAGACCTACATACATGTCTGTGATTGGGTCCAAAAAGTCTGCACTAGGAGGCAGGATTTTGTGCAGGAAAAGTTCACTATCTCATTAACACACTAGATATTCTGTCCATCTATTCAACGTGACCTAAGGTGAACTGGTCTTCCCGGGGTAGATCTATGATCAGGTGCTTGATGAGACAAGCTAGAAAGGTGGGTCTTTCAACAGACAGACTAGAGATTTTATAGTCTTGACCAGTTAATCTTATGGGACTATTTGCTACTCTAACCCAAGAAGTGGAGTAAGGTAGAAAAGCCGAAATGGACAACGGAAAGGAACATGTGGTATAAATGCTGATAAGGGAAACGTGGATAGAGTTAAACAGGGAAGGAAATCGCTGACCTGTAGCTCAGGCATTCCTAGAAGAAATATTTGAGAACTTAGCAGTTCAGGTGACCTGCTCCCCAGCACTACTATGCACAACACACCCAACAGTGCAACCAGAGAGGCGAGATGATCCCTCACACAGAACTGAACTGTAGAGACATTCCTTAGTAAAAAACAAACTGAGGAAGAGTAACTATGGTGAGTATCCTGTCCTATTGAGGAACCAAGAGAGGAAAAGGAAAGAAAGTAAATAAACAAGGGAGCCTCTCTCTAAGCCATTCATTTTCAAAGTCAGAGCAATTTGCTTCAAAATCTATAAGCACCAAAGCATTCCTAGTGTTCTCCCTCAGATGCCTCTACTTGCTACTGGTTTCCCCCCAGTCCTTCCTCTCAGCCAGACCCCTGCTGCCTTCCTTGAGGTCAGTGATACTTAATCAAATGGACAGCCATGCAAAACAGAAACAGAAACACTGTATTACAAGAGTTCTAATGATTAAAGTGGAAAACTTCTAATTTAGATGTTGCGAAGAGCTCACACTGAGGATGAATGAACTATTCCTGGTGTCCTAGTTTTCAAAGCATGGATTGAGGTAGGCAATGACTCTAAATTGGGACCCTTAGTTAGTCCTTTAAGCTACTTGGGATGGCACTACACAGATAGGAGGCAACACACAGAGCTGCATGGCAACTGTGCCTGTCTTGCAGAACACACTGACTTCTTGCCATCCACCTGCGGTCCGCAGAAACAGGCACTCGCTATTTCCTAAACACCAACTTTGTGATTTAGTCTTTGTTCACTTTCTTCAGCACCCAGTGGATGTGTGTAAGCTGTGTGCTTTGTGGTTGTGGTTCACTGCGGCTGACTGCAACCCGGGAGGCATGTGGTTAAGGATGATGTAATTCCAGTACCATGGTGAGCATTGGCCACTGCTGTTCGAAACAAACTCATCTGTATGTTTCTTTGGGGATTTTTACTGACTCCTCAACTCTTAAGCCACAGAGAGCCATTTGGTGGGCACAGCTTTCATCATAAGACAGAAGCACCTGGAGATCATGCTTTGAGCTCATGTCAGTTATTCTAGTGAGCCACAGACAAGTCAGCAGATATGTAGCTGGGTGTGGAATTGCTCTACAAGATGGTGGTAGATGGGCTGAGGGTGGAGTTCAGTGACAGAGCATGTGTATAGTACATGGCTTGGTCTCTAGTACATTAGAAAAAAAAAAAGATCTGAGGTGGAACATGGACACAGATGGCTGAGCTCCTTGTAGAGCCCACATGTGAGTGCATTATTACCTTAGAATCATAAGGGAATTAAAGATAGATCTGTGCTACTAGTTAACAGAAGAGCTATGATATCAATCAAATGTACGGAAAAAGTCAATAATCACACATCTAATAAATATTATGAGTCCCCTGTTTGTGACCTTGTCATCACTGCTGGTGGGCACCACTGGCTGCAGAGGGTGCTGGTGTCTTCCCTGTCATGGCTCATGGCAGTTCATGACATATTGTGCCATTTGACATAGGTAATTCTTATTTATTTGTTGTACTGCATGTGTCTGTGGTGTGCATCTGCATATGCATGTTCACATGTATGTGATTGCATGTGTATATGTGCTAGTGTGCACACGTGTGTGGGGAACCTGAGGTTGATGTCAGGTGTCTTATTTGATCACTCTCTGCCTCATATATTGAGGCAGGGTCTCTCATTTGAACCCAGAGCTTGCTGATTCAATTAGTCTAGCTAACTGACCTGCTCCAGGGGTCCCTGTTGCCTTCTGAGTACTGGAACTAAAGGCAGGTTGCCATGTGTACCTGACATTTATGTGGGTGCTGGGATTCCAAACTCTGGCTGTTACATTTACATAGGAAGTGCTTTACCCACCGAGCCAGCTACTTATCTCTGTTTCTGTGTCCCCACAGCATTTTATGCATATCTGGATGTTAACAAACCTTGACGGAACAACTGTAAATTTTGAAATTGCCAAGGAATGAACACTTCTGGCATCGCGTAGAAACCACTGTGGCTGGCACTCAGCAGCATTCAGTGTTTGCCAAGGCCTGGGGAAGCATCTGAGTTCATGTACTTGATATATACTTACCTCCTACTCATTTAAAGTTTTTTATTTTATGTGTATGAGTGTATTGCCTGCGTGTATGTAAATGCACCCAAATCATGCAATGCCCATGGAGGTCAAAAGAGCGTGTCGGGTTCCCCTGGAACTGGAGTTATAGACAGTTGTTAGCTGCCATGTGGGTGCTGGGAATCAAACCTAGGTCCTCTGCAAGAGCAGTCAGTGCTCTTAACTGCTGAGCCAACTCCAGGCCCTTCCCTACTCATTTTAGATACACAGGACTTGAAAGTAGCATTTGGCTTTTCTTGGTTCACATTTGTCCTCCAGACCCTTGAAGGAACTTATTGTTCAAAGGCAAGATGAAAAAAAATCAGAACTATAACCAAGCACATAAGAGAAAATGTCTATACAGCTAAACTGAGGGTCAGAAATGACTGACTGACTTGGGCAACCTGGGAGATGGGAAGATGAGTACTTCAGACTCTGTTGCTGAGTCCCACCCAACCCGTTTCCGTATCCCAGTCGTTCTTATCATCTCGTCCCTGTCTTCTCAATAGTTTTTAAAACTTAAATGCCAAAAAGGTCTTGTGAATTTTGAGCATTAAAAAATGAAAAAAAATAAATTATTGATTTTTTAATTATCAGTAATTTACCTGATGAGTTATAAAAGATACAGTTAAAAAGCTAAACTAGCAATTTTAACCAGGAGAGTGTGTGAGTGCATGTGTGTGCACGTGCATTCGACCATGTTCATTTTACAATTCCTGACTTCAGTGTTTCTAACTTTGCAAACATGATGTGACTTTCTTCGATATCAAAATGGCTTTCTGTTTGACGACAATGATTTATTGCTCTCTTGTGACAGGTATTCTACTCCACCCCATCTTCAAGAAGGATACCGGTTACTAAGAGTAATTCCCTAACCAACAGAGAAAGGCTCTTTACTTTATGAGAAATAAAGGATGTTGGGTTAGACAAAAGGGACTCCCCCCCCAATGATGTGAAGAAACTATAGATGCATGAAAAGAATAAAGTGTTGTTGAGAAAAAAAGAAAAGTGAAGGATGAGCTCAGAGGAGCCCCCAGGAGAAGGGAAACAGCCTCCGAGCAGATCCCAACACTTTGTTTTCTGTGAACCTTGTTTGGAGCCTTGGTGCAGGACATCCTTCTGTTTTGAAACATGGTATGGACTTCTTGTTTTGATTGAAATTATGTTTTAAAATCACAAAGCAGGACAGGACAAACAAGCCTCTTGACACATCCGAATGAACCCGAAGACTTCAGCAGAGTGTGTCTTAACATGTGGATCCCAGGGGTGACTACTTCTTAAATAACCTAGGAAAGATTTATAACTATAGCTTTACAAAACAGTCTGGTAGATTGACCAGATTCCAAGGATAGACCCGCACCCAAGGGCACTTGGGAAACACAACTAGGCCTTAAAAATAACAAGTAATAGCAGAGGATATGAGGTTGGGGGTTGGGGATGCAGTAAGATGGGCGTGAAGACGGGGGAGGGGTCTGAATAAGATCAAAATGCGCTACATGAAATTCTCAAGTCAGCAAAAATATTTTTTAAACAGCCAGATGAACACTGTTCAACAGCAATGAAATCCGAAAGCAGCTTTCATACACTTGTGTTAGGGTTGCTAGGGAATGGGATGGGGATGAGGAAGGGCCAAGGGAGAAAGCTAGAGGCAGATCCCTTCTGGAAGCATCTAGAAGAGCCACCTTTTGTGGTCATTTGACTGGATCTATCTTCATTTCTGCCCAGCTTTACTCTAGGTTCACCTGTGGGAATCCCTGCTAATCTCAAGCTATTTCTGAAGACGCCCGTGCCTGCAAAACAAAGTCCCATTTTTGTCACAGAAATGCGAAGCTGCACTTAGAGCCAGTGCCGGGGCAAGGGGGCCTCCACACTGCAAACACCCAAACGCCAAGGCATTTGCTTTTATTCTTTTTGGTCTTCTGAGGGTTGTTTTCCCTCCTGTGAAAGTTCCACAGCAGAATGAATAAAAGGGACAAGTGTGCTGACACAGCCTCCTCTTCTCCCACAGAGCTGTTTACACTTTGCCCTGAGGATGAAGTGGAGGAAAGAACAGCCTACCTGGGGAAGCCAGGCACCCTGATACTTTTCAACTGGAGGCCAGGCTGCCTAGATAATAGTGTTCCGTCCTGCCCCTTGGCTCAGAAGTCTTGGTGGCATCTGAGTTGAAAAAGAAGTGCATGAAGGAAGCATGCAGCTGTCCCAGACCCTTGAGCACCTCATCTTCATCTGTCCCACCCAGGGTTCAGGCAGGTACAGTCCTCCCTCAGGAGCCTTGTCTCTAGCTGATGCTGCACTCGTCCCAGCACAAACATGGCACTTTTAGTGCTGGAACCTGTGGGGATGAGCCTAGATTTTTTTAGTTCAGTCCTGACAGAACTATAATTTCAAAACCTCATTTATCTCAGCATATGGTATTCGACCTTCATCTACCCAGGGCAAGCTTGATGATCGGAATTACTAGCTGAGTCTTTTATTTTTTTTTATTTTTGTTTTTGGTCCTTTTGAAACAGCCTCCCTGTATCCTCAGCTGGCCTGAAACTTGCTGTGTAGACCTGGCTTGCCTTAATCTTACAGAGATCCCCCTGCCTCTGTTTCCTGAGGGCTGGGACTAAAGGTGTGCATCACCACTCCAGCTCAGCTGAGCATTTTCTAAATGCCAGCGGTTCTACTGAGCACACAGCTGTCACGAATCCTAAAAGAAGCCCATGCAGTTTGATCTAGCAATTGCAGTATTTACGTGCATGGGTAAAAAATGTATGTCTGCTGCCAGGCGTGGTGGCACATGCCTGTAGCCCCAGCACTTGGGAGGCAGAGGTAGGCAAGCAGATGTCTGTAAGTTCAAAAGCTAGCCTGGTTTACCTGGTCTACATAGTGAGTTCCAGGCCAGCTGAGGCTACAGGGAGACCTTGTCTCAAAAAGACCAAAAAAAAAAAAGAAAAAGAAAGAAAAGATGATAGATGATTACTTAAGAGTTGAATTTTTAATACTGTATCTTTTTTAAGGGCTTGTTCGTTTTTATTTTTTGTGTATGAGTACCTTGCCTGCATGGATGGACACCATGTAAGGTGCCAGTGGAGGCCAGAAGACGGTGTTGGATCCCCTGTAACTAGAGATACAGATGATTGGTAGCTGCCATGTGCTGGTAACAGAACCTGAGTCCTTTACAAGAACAGTCAGTGCTCTTAACCACTGAGCCATCTCTCCAGCCCTAAGTCTTGAGTTTTTAAGTTACCCTCAAATAATTCTAAATAAAGGCAAGGAGTGAAAGCATTAACAATAACGAACATTTAAAAATGGCATGTAGACATTTATTAACTATTACAGTTTCAATGGCTCTAAGTTTCTCAAAATAAAAATTTGGAGAGAAGACTCCTAGGGATCAGTGACTTGTTTTCTTTATCTGCTAGGCTGTTTCCTTTTAGCACATCTTAAAAGCTATGTGCTTTCAGAGCATAGATATACAGTGTTGTCTCCAGTAACCAGATATGGGTTTCAGAGCCCCTTTTCCCTTTTGCTCTTTTAATATGTACTGAAAAAACTACGACTGTTCCAGGAAGCAATGCACACACATGCACACAAGAATTAAATTGCTGATATTAAATGCACAGCATATGTGTCTCTAACACCCCTAATCACACCAGTGACAGGCATCACTAATCAATCAAAGCACTTTTTTCTGTCAGGCCTCGTTATGCTTCAGAATCTTTCTTAACACAAAATCTTTCTCTAGGTTACCTTGATTAGTTTGTCAGAGTTTGAATGAGAAATAAAATATTTGCCATCTACCATTAATAAATCACCTCCTTTTCAAAACCTAAAAAAAAAAAAAAGTAATCTGAATAAAAACCTGCACATGAGGGGCTGGAGCAATGGCTCAGCAGTTAAGAGCACTGGGTGCTCTTGCAGAGGACCTGGGTTCAGTTCCCTGCACCCACATGATGGCTAATTTCAGTTCCAGGGGATCTGACACCTTCTTCTGCCTTCCTCAGGCATTGCAAGTACTTGCTAAATACAGGCAGGCAAAACACTATACACTTATTAAAAAAAAAAAAAAAACCTGCACATGAGGTTTATAGCATCTTTACTCACAACTGCTAAACGGTGGAGATAACCAAGAAGTTCTTCAGAGGGTTCTGGAAAAATAAGCTGCAGCTCATCTAGACAATGGAAGAAGTGAGCTGTTCACATGAAAACATGTGAAGGAAATGGAAATACATGTTGCTAAGTGGAAGATGTCAACCTGCAAATACTACACACAACTCTATGATACTAAAACCATGCACAGTGTCAAAGCATCAGCTGTTACCAGAGGCTGGAGGAGAGGAAAAGGGAATGGGCAGAGCATAGAGGATTCTTAAGGCAGAAGCTATTTTGTATAGCACTTCAATGGCATAAATAGATACAGGCTGTCGTATAATTAACCAATGTCCATAATGTCCAATGTCAAGAGTGAGCCCCAGTGTGAAGTGTGGACTCTGAATAGTGGTATGTCCACATGGGTTCCTTGATTATGACAAATGCACCTCTCTAGTTCAAGATGCTGATGATGGGGAGGCTGCAGTGTGTGTGGTTAGTGAGGCATAGTCTCTATATCTTCTGAAAAACTTTGGGAGAATCTGAAACTGCTCTAAAAAATAATCTCTATTAAAGGTCTAAAGAGATGGCTCAATGGTCAAGAGCACTGGCTGTTCTTAACCAAGTTCTGTTCCCAGCACCGACATGGTGTTTCATAGCCATCCAAAAGTCCAATTCCAGGAGATCCAATTCCCTCTTCTGGCCTTCACAAGCATTACACACATGGTACACATACATACATGTAGTTGAAACATTCACACATATAAAATAAAAATAAAAGCTTTATTAAAAAATTTGACCCAGGTTCCATTCCCAGCACCTACATGGCGGCTATGAATCATCCTTAACTCCAGTTCCAAGGGAATCCGAAGCCCTCTTCTGACCTCTGCAGCATTGCACGACAGGAGTGCACTCACATACATGAAGGCAGTATACTCTTGCATGTAAAATAAAAATAATAAAATATTTTTAAAAATTCCTAAGTAGTAGGTATGGTAGCCACCCTAATCTAAATAACCTTGTCTAATAGTTTTATACTTCTGTGATCATAATATCAGACAGAAACAAGTGGGGGAAAGATTTATTTTAGCTCAGGGTTTCAGAGTTTCGGTGCAATGTGGCAGGAAAGGCATGGCAGAGCAGACCAGTTCATAGAGGCTGGAGTGTGCGACAAAAGCAGAAAGGTAGAGAGGATTCAGAAAGGAACCTGGGACCAGGCCGTAAACTTCAGAGGCCCGCCTCTAGTGACCTGCTTCTACCAGCTAGACCCTACCTGCTAAAGATTCCACAGTTACCACCTGGGGAACAAGTATGCGAAACATGAGCCCGAGTGGGGTTGTCATTTCAGATTCAGATCTCACCCAGGTCTCCCAGATGGAAAGCAATGTTGCTGGAGGCAGAAGAGATTCAAGGAGCTGGAGAGATGACTCAGCAGTTAAGAGTGCTTACCACTCTTGCAAAGGATCCATACTGGTTCCCAGCATCCACATTGAACAGTTCACAACTTCCTGTAACTCTAATTCCAGGGGGTTCTGACATCCTTTTCTGACCTCCATGGGCATTTGCATGCACGTGGTACACTTTACAGACAAGCAGGCACATACACAAACAAATAAAAAAATTTAATAAAAAGAGATTTAGATCCCCCTTGCCAGCTTCCTCTGAAGCCTCTGCTTGGCCAGCATGCTTGTACTCCTGGGTTTGATGCTATCTGCCCTTTCCTGTGACTTGACATTATACTCCTTCTCTTCCAGGGCTTCCCATGGTGCACGTGTCACGTGACAGGACTGCGGTTGTATTTGTAAGAAACACTAAATATTGGTCTTTCCTTTCAAACCCTGTAACACTTGGTTTATGACAAGGAATTCTAATCTTTTAATCCCACCACATTGTAAGACTTCTGTCTTAGGAAAGGCCCTGAAGCATTCCCGAACTGGATGGGGCAGTGGAGCTCTTCCTCCTTCCTTTACTCCCATTCTTTTAAAGTAGACAACCAGGAAAGACTGTGGGGTGGGATCACAGCCAATGGGGAAATGGCACAGCACTCCTGTGTTAGAGATAAAAGCCTATCAAGCTTTGGGTCCTGTGTGCTTGCAGGATCTGACTGACCACATAATACACCCTTTTGCAAAAGCGAACTCTGCCTGCTGAATTATTTCTTCTTTGTCCTTGTGTTCTTTGTGTGGTATTGGTGGGGCCCTTGGACCTTGGATTTTATTTCTAACTTGTATTTCTCCTCTCTTTCCTCTTCTTCCCCTCTCCTCTTCTCTTTTGCCCTTCCCTGACTCCCCTCCCTTCCTTTTCTCCCTCCTTCCCCTTTATTCTCTTCTCCTCCCCTCTCTCCTCTCCTTTCCCTTCCTGTCCTCATTTCCGCTCCCCTCCCCTCCCTCCTCTCCCCTCCCCTCCCCTCTCTCCTCTCCTCTTTTTTCCTCCTCCCCAGCTTCCTTTCTTCTCTGCCCATCTTTCCACCTGCCTTTCCTTCCTCTCTCCTCTCCAGCCCCCTTCTTTCTTTTTCTGAGACAATGCAGCAGAGATCTATGCAGCTCAAGCTGGTGTTAAACAAGATCCTCCTACCTCAGCCTCATGAATGCTGGGATTTCAGGCATGGTCTACCTACCACACTTGGCTAACAGTCTGCATTTCTAATAAGCTTTCTGGAAATAAGGATGCTACAGGGCCACAGGCACCCTCTGACTCGTCGTGGTGTGTGTTCCGCTGATGCCAACCTGGCTAAGTGCAGCATGCCCTGAATCTTATGTTAAACATACCTAGTGATGCTCCCTCTACCTAGAATGTCTCTCTGCACTATGTCTGCCTGTCAAAATAATAATCATCCTTAGACAACCAGATTGAAGTCTACTTCATTATAAACCACCGTTATCAGCCAAAATTGAGCACTCCACTGGCCTGCTTCCTCTCACTTAGCAGCAATCCCTGCAGTGCTGTTGCTTCCTGCTTATGTGAGCTGCTCCCTAGTCAGTGTACACGCACCTGCTCACTTTGAAAGCAGCTTGGAGACAGGGACTTTATGGCTGGGGACCTTATGGGTTCCTTACCACTAAGAAGGCCTGGCTCTGTCTGTCATTCACTGCCATGTTCACCCCTTTCCCTTTTATGAATAATAGAAGAGCAACATTCAGTTCAACAGATGTTTATCAAGGTGTGTGAAGCACTTTACATATGGCATGCAAATTAAACTGCATGACAACACAAAAGGAGTGACACCACCCCATTTCATAGACCAGCATCAGAAGGCTGAAGGACCTCGGAACGTCAGGGTCCCTTTTCTACTACCGTGCCATTTCTTTTCTGCATACAAGGGATCAGTGTATCCCTACATCCTGGGAAACCACAGCAAGAAAGCCTGATTAATATGCACTTGTAATTGCAGTGGCAAGTGTCCTAGTTTGTT